GGAACCGGTCTCCACATGGGATCCGAACCCTCGGCAGAAGTGCCACCGCGCTCCCAAGCGGTGCACTCTCCAGTGCACCACCAGGCCGGCCCCATTGCACAGGTTTTGATATGCACTATCATATTATGATTCAAGTCAGTGTACTTTACAATTTCTGTTATGATTTCTTCTTTAACCCAGGAGTCATTAAGAAATGTTTCTTAATCTCTGTCTATTTTTTTTCCTGGTATCTCTTTGTTACAGATTTCTGCCTAACTGTAGTTTGATTAATAAAAATCTATATGATATTCTCTTCTTAAAATTTGTTGAGACTTGATTTATAGCCCAGTAGGTGGACAGTTTTTTTTTTAATGCACAATGTCATTATGTGTTTGAAAAGAAAATATATTCTATTGTTGTCATGTGCAGTATATAATATATAGTATATTCATTAGGTCAAACTTTGTATCTTCCACCACACGTTCAAATCTTCTGTATCCTTATTGATTCTTTTTGTTTGATTATTTCCTCAGTTATTGAGAGAACTCTTGCACATAATCATTTATTTAGCTATTTTTACTTGTGGTATTATCAATTTTTGATTCATGTATTTTGAGTCTATATTATCACATACATATAGATTTATAGATATTATATTTTCTTGAGGAATCAAACCCACTATCACTGTGCTTTGAACTTCTTTACCTTAATGCTTTTTCTATTAATGTATTTTCTGGTAGTTATATAATTAAACCAGCTTTTCTTTTTCTATTTTTTAATACTGATGTTTAAGGTGAGTCCGAAAGTGTTAGGTAGATGGGTCAGATTATTCAATCTAATAATCTTTGTCCTTTATGTGGGGCATTTAGTATCTTTTTATTTCTGCCTTCTTTTGTGTTTTTTATTTGACCCACTCTGTTAGACAGAATTCTAAGATGACCCCCCCAACACACACACACACACACTATGACCTGTACCCTTAAACGGTCTCCTCCTCTTGAGTGTAGGGGGGACCTGCAACTTGCTTCTAATAAGTAGAAGATGGCAAAGATGATAAAATATCACTTGCATGATTCTGTTACATGGCAAAGATAAAGGGATTTTCTCCCTGCAGATTAAGGTTTTTGTTCCTTAAAAGAGAATGGGAAAATGAGCCTGGGAGGAATTTTGGCAGTGCTACTATCCTCTCTCCCAGCCACATCAAGGGAAGGGGGAACGGGGGAAAGTTTTCTCAAGATTCTCTCTGCTCTTCCGTGTAAGCTCCTGGTGGGTATCCCAGAGGAAAAGGCTGCAAGAGGTGCAAACTCTTTAAGTCTCAGGGCCTGCACATACTCACACTAATGCATACTCAGTCTTTAGCAAATTAGCAAAAACTTCTAGCATAACATTGCCAGTTTATATGGCATTTTGCGGCATCTGTTCCAAGTAAGCAAATGTTCAGGTCCTGTTTCTACCTGTAGGTGCCTGTTTCCAAATTTCAAGTTAATTACTTGCTCTGTGACTTCAGTTCTCTTTTCAAGAGTTAAAATCAGTTTGATTCCCCATGCTGTAATGGTGAGGAGCATACGTTTGGCCTAGGTTCAAATCTGTGAGACCCTGTACCTCAGGTTCTTTATCTATAAAGTAAGGATAATAATTGTACCACTACCCAGAAATTGATGTGAGGACTGAGTTATACATGTAAATTAATTAGAACAGCACCTTGCACGTAGTAAGCACTCCATATATATTAGTAGCGGTAATAGAAGTTATTATTTCTCTTTTATTCTACTCAATGTCAGGAAGAGTGCCTTGCACACAGGAAGCACTCTACTTTTCCCTGGCTCAGCTTATTCATCTTCCTCTTGTTCCTCCCTCCCCACCAAGAGCTTGTAGGACAGATATAACTGGCTAAATCCTAGCCATTTGCACCTCACTTTCTGTAACTTCCATGTAACTTCTCTATCCAATAAAAGTGCCTCAGAGTTTTGTAAAGGCTATAAAGGCTAAAATTATAGGCAAAATTTCTTGGGCATCTTCAGTATGTAAAAGAATAGAATTTTTTCTGTGTATTTAAACTTTGTGGATATCCTGTAGAAATGGTTCTGAAGTTAAACAAAAAGAAAACACGGAGCATTCCCAAACATCTCCGTTTTTAAGGCTTTATCCCACCCCATGAAGAGAAGTTGAGAAACATGTACGAGATTTTTATGGAATAATTATTTCTTAATTAGATTTAAATTATCAGTTGCTTAAATCAGGACTCCATACATTATGGAGAGAGGTTTCTTTTCATTTCTTCAAAGCCTGAAGTCACAGAGGAACGGCTTACACTGATGCCTCTGATAATGACAAGATGGGAAGGTGAGGACGGTGCCACCACAGTGGTTGGGAAGGACATTGGTGCCCACGATTGGTGTGAAACATTCAGATAAGACTGAGACCTACCAGTAGATCTTAGTGCACAAGTTTAAGACCCCAAATAGTCATTTGTTTTAGTTCAGAAAGGAAAATGATTGTATTACCTATATTTAGAATTACAGTATATATATATATATATATATATTTTTTTTTTTTTTTTTTTTTTTTTTTTTTTTTTTTTTTGTACTGAGAACAACTCCACTACCTCCCTGTCCAGCATGGATTCCACAGCTTCTAGGCCCAGGAAACAGTGCTCCAGAACCACGTATGGCAGAAAGCCCAGGAGCGCATTCCCAAATTCCCACCAGTTTCAGTTAGTCATTTCAAAAGCACCCAGTGGGGATCTTTTAGATAAACATTCTGAACTCTTTTCTAACAAACAATTGCCGTTCACTCCACGCACTTTAAAAACAGAAGCGAAATCTTTCCTGTCTCAATATCGATATTATACACCTGCCAAAAGAAGAAAGGATTTTACAGATCAACGGATGGAAGCTGAAACCCAGACTGAATTGAGCAGGTATGGGAATGAAAGTAGATTTTTTTTAAAAGCTATTAAACTTCCCAAGCTCCTTATAAATATGAATGTTACTTATTGTTCCAAACATGGTTGTAGAAATTTTTTAGGTTTTTTAATATTATACTTGCAGAGAATCCTTATAATATGTCATCAGATAGCATTTGTGTGAATACACTTATTGACTTGTGTTAAAAGTGGCAAAACGTCAAGCGAAAGGCACAGTAAGAGAAAAACCTCAAGTCCTCACTCATAAGTGGAAGCTAAAAAAATAAATAACTATAAAAAGAAAGAAAGATACAACAATCACAATAATTCATTGAATTTTCAAAAGGAGAGAACAGAATTGAGGCCACCAGAAGTGGGAAAGGGGGAAGGAGAATGGGAATTAGTGAAAAATTGGTAAAGGGCCACAAAAAATGATTACATTGTAGAATGTTGAATATACTAATTATCCTGATTTGAGCAGCACATTTGCACACCACAGGTATTAATATTCAATGCTGTACCCTGTAGATATGTACAATCAATTATGTTTCAATAAATAAAAAAATGTTTTTAATTTAAAAAAAAAATTTTTTTTTTTGTGACCGGTAAGGGGATCGTAACCCTTGGTTTGATGTCACTCACACCACGCTCAGACAGTGAGTGAACCGGCCATCCCTGTATAGGATCCGAACCCACGGCCTCGGCACTCCCAGTGCCGCACTCTCCCAAGTGAGCCATGGGGTCGGCCCTAAAAAACATTTTTTTTAAGTGGCAAAACAGTGGGCTATAGAGGGGAAAAAAATTAACCCTTTATCTAACTACCCCTATGCTCTCTTCCCTGCAAATATTCAGGGCAGTCTTGTATGGCAGTAACTGCCCAGGAATAATCAGGCAATTAGGATGATTTCTGGAAATTATAATCTGCTTCAGTAATATTTTCATATAACAGTGCCTGGCACATGATGAATATTCAATAAAAGTTTGCCAACTGATTAAAGAAACAAAGCTTGTAAAGTATTAAGAGTTGGCCGATTTGTGACTGTAATTGTTTTTTCTAAAGTTACATAAACAGTGTATCCGGTACTAGGTTTTTGTTATTTTAGAAAGTAAAAAACCATTTAAGAGTAATATTCTTTGGCTTTGGCTTTTTTTTTTTTTTTGGCAGCTCTTTGTTAAGGGGATCCAAACCCTTGACTATGGTGTTACAAGGCCACGCTCTAACCAACTAAGCCAACCAGCCATCCCCAAGACGAGTATTCTTTAGGTATAGATAAGAGGTACACTAATATCAGATGAGTCTGGATACATTTAATCAAATAATTAAGGAATTGAATCTATGATAGGACTTGTCAAGTGGAAGAGAAATGAGGAAAGCAAGTTTATCATATCTCTTTATGATTACATTTATGAATGTTGTAAAGATAGTAGTTCCCACTTCCCTAGTCTTACCATATCTGAAATCTAGCTGCTAATCAAAAGGAAAAAGAAGCATTTATAATCCAAACCGTATCTATTTCCAGCAGAAATATGCATTTTGTAACAGTAAATAGATCTCATTCTCTTATGTTTATTTTTTCTAGACAGTAAAGTTTGTCATCACAGTGTTTTTATTTTGAAGGATTAACCATTATTTCTTTAAAATACTTACAGCTTTCAATCTGATTTGGGGGCAGCTGAGACCAAGAACCTGACAGATTCAGAAGTGAACATCAACCAGGTAATAAATATGAGGTCTTTTTGTGTTGCCACATTGGAATTACAGATGCTTTTATATAATAGAATAGTGTGACTATTTGGACTGTGAAGAATAATCTCTCGGTGGCACTTGTTGCACATGATATAGCCAGGATACAGAAGGTTTGCCTATTTACAAGTGGAATTCTCTGAATGAACAGGTGGATCCTGCCAGATGTGGGAAATCATTTGTCATTAGCATCTTTTCTAGATTATTGATTGGCTGGACAGATGGATGGGTGAATAAAATACCTTAAGTATTTTTTTCAAAGATATAGACCTGGATTACTAAAGGAGCCAGCAAAGTTGTGCAGAGGTTGTTTGAGTTTTTATGCCTGTATATTATTGGAAATTAGACATTTTATAATAATACATAGATAACATCCTCTTATCTTTGCCTTTACTTTTTCAAGACCGTAAAGCTCTTTGTCACAGTATTTATATATTTTTAATGCTTAGCAATCATTTATTTTAAAATATTACAGGTTTAAGTCTGATTTTGAGACAAACTGATTTATTTTTATTTTTATTTTTATTTTGGGGGAATCAGTCATACACTTGTGTCCTAACACATTTATTGTTTATAAAAATCATTTGTCTATTAAAAAGTCAAACAGATTCAGGGATACAAGAATAAAATATAATCACACTCAACTTATGTCTTTCTTTCTGAAAATGGGTAAAAGGTGGTAGGAAAAAGATGCTAATTGGATAGAAAAATTATTCTGTAGCATTCTTTGTTGTGATATAGTGGTCACTTTTATCTACTGGACATCTCTATTCCCTTTGAAGTTTGCTTTGTTTTATTTTATTTCTGCTTTCTTAATGTATTTTTGAAACAAAAGAAGATTTATTCTTTTTATTGTATCCCCAGGCATCGAATAGTGTGACAAATGATACCAAAGGGAAAATAACCCCTTTACCTTTACAAGGGGATGGCTTAAGGTGGAATGAGATTAAAGGTGGAGCTCTTCAGCATTCCTCAGGAAGGTAAACAGTTTGTAGGAGAAATAATTTCAATTTTGTCTGTATCTAACTGCTTTCCTATATAACAGACATATGATATGTGCAACATAAGTACTATTTTAATTATATGCTCCAGTCAATTTTAATGTTGTACAGTTCAGCGGCAGTGTTAGTTTTACTGGGGAAATTTTACAAAGTCAGGTGCTCAATAAAGATTTAAATGAGTTACTTTGAATGTGGAATATACTGATTTTCCTGATTTGAGCATCACATATTATACACAGGTATTGATATTCAGTGTGGTACCCCACAGATATGTACAATCGTGTTTCAGTAAAAAAAAAAAGTGATAAAATAACATTTATTAAAAATAATAATAAATGAGTTACTTTGGTTAATTCATTAATAAAGGGAAAAGGGACATGAGCTTGTATTATCTGTTATCACTATTCATATAAAAAAGGATTTTCCCCAAGATGAGTCCTCTGGCAGTGATGTTAACCTGTTTACATGGCATAAATAGTACTGAATCTTACCATTTGAGGAATCGTAACTTGTGATTTTGAATAATCACCATATGCTAGTGCTTGATCTGTCCATGCTGTGTGGAGGCACTCTTAATAAACTCTTCATCATGTTTAATAATTATGGAATACTACACCTAAACAAAAATGATAAACTAGCAGGCGGTGAGAACCTAAAAGATGCCTTCGATAGTTCCTGCTGTCAAATGCATTTTTAGTGTCAGATTGAATATGAGATGAAGGGGGTGGAAGAAATGAAGGAACAGAGATTAAAAAGAGGGCAAGAATGAGGTGTTCTTCAGGCCTCTGTGCTAGGGAGATTTTACCTACTAAAGCCACCCAGGAGTTCATTGTTAACCTCGCTGTCCTTGAAATTCATGGTTGCTTCAGCACACATAACAATATTTATAAGCTGTTCTTGAGCCAGTCTGCATTGAATATAAAAAAATGACCTACAGAAAGGAATATTTATCTTTTCTCGTAGTTTCTATCTAAAAGAAGTAAAGTAAAATATTATAATTGAGTATACTTGAATAAAAAGCTTGGAATTAACTAATGGTACATAACTGAATAATGACAAAATTTATCTTAAGGACCAGCTTAAGAAAAATTTCCATAGGGAAATATCTGTTTCCAGCATTGTTTATATGGTAATCTTAGTCAACCCCTTGTATATGGTAGGGAAGTGCCATAGTGTTTTAAAGAGAATTGTGAATTTGTAACTAGAAAACTAGTTTAAAAACCTATCTTTGCTACTTACCAACATTAACCCTGGCAAGTTACTTGGCCTTTCCAACCCTTGGTGAACTCATTAGTAAATGGGAAAAATAATACCTAGCCAACGTACCCCACTGAGTTGTTTAGAAGATTCAATTAGATATGAAAGTGCTTAAAAAATTTCGAAACCTAATACTACTAGTGTATAGTATAATTGAACACTTATTATAGGCCAACCATTGTTCTGCTCAAGGGTTTTAACTTTCTCTTTCTAAGACAATATATCACTATTCCATGCAGCGTTCTTCAGGGAGTAAAATGCACTCTGAGTAAGATCTTTTTAACTTCTTAATTTTGTTCAGTGGTAATCAAGAATTAAGAATCACAGAAACCATTATTAAGTAAGTTTGCAATGAACACTAATATCTCTTACAACCAGCTTTGGGGTATCAATCATTTAATACATGCTAAATTTGAGAAAATGACCAGAATTTTCTGGAATAATTAACAAGCATCTCATTTTTATCTCCAGTAGAAACTTGTCCCTAAGTTAATAATACCTGCTATTTTTTTAATAATTAGTACCCATAATTCTTGTTTATTTTTATAAGTAAAAATAATAAAGAGTAATAAAGAAGAGTTTTAGAGAAATGCAGAATTTTGGTAGCTCAGGATACTCTTCCTAGAAGTTTCTAAACTCACTAGTTCTTTGCAGTTATTCTACTAGTAGGTTTAATGTTGTTTTAGTTGTGTTTTTTTCAGGGAAAATGATTTACTTTACAGGGTTTCATTTATTCCCACACCCGCTGCTTTTAAACAAGCAAGACCCTGTGAATCAGTTTGAAAGTGTACTTTTCATATGACATTTTAACCTATTATATAATTTGCTTATTAACTCTTCCTTTTATATTTGCTTATTCAGTATTTGGGTGGTTACTTGCTATTTACATTTTCTATTCCCTAATTTCAGCTAATTAAAATTTACAATAGCATCGGGCCGGCCCGGTGGCGCACTGGAGAGTGTGCCGCTTGGGAGCACGGAGGCGCTCCCGCCGAGGGTTCGGATCCCATGTGGAGACCGGTTCCCGCTCACTGGTTGAGCGCGGTGCGGGCGCAACACCGAGGGTTGCGATCTCGTTGCCGGTCCCCGGTAGTACGGGCACAACACCGAGGGTTGCAATCCCGTTACCAGTCAGTAAAAAAGACAAAAAAGGAAAAAAAAAAAAATTTACAATAGCATCTAATTTTCTTGTAATAGCTACTAAAATATAGTTATCTCATAATAAATGTGTTGAAGTAATTAAAAATTACCACTATATTTATGTTCACAAATTTTCCTATTAGCATTTGTTTCCAAACGTTTTGGGAAAATAATAAATTTTTCTGCTTAGTAACTTTACCGATCTTAAAACAAGATGCTGTTCTAAGAGCAGGAGAGACCTTCATAGTCGAAGCTCCAGCTTCTCCAGAAGACTTTCCTCTTTCCCTCCTGCAAGTGCCTTGCAAAGGAGCTCCCACTCCTGTTCCTGGACACTGTCAGGAGCCAGAGGAAATTTAAAATGCTCATCGTGGGGAACCTGCTCCCAGTGGATCACATTTGATTGTCCTCCTGCCCTTGGTTGCTCTCTCTTTTGTTGTGTTTAATTCTGCTTATTGTACGATTATGGATGTTTGCAGACAACTATGAAATTTTACTCTATTAGGCAGTATTTTCTCAGTTTTAATAAATATTTATCCTTCCATAATTTGAGAAGCTAGACGTACGTTTGTTTTATAATATTCCCCTTAATAATATGACGGAGAAGTATATTTGTAATAGTAGAGGCAGATATTTCTCATTAGGTATTCACGTTTCCTATAGTTTTCAGAGTAAGCAAGCAATAATTTTTATGCTGTATATTGCCTTGCCTTCACAGTGAAGAAGAGCTGTTGTATCTGAGTTTCATTGAAGATGTAACAGACGACATTTTGAAACTTGGTTTATTTTCAAACAGGTTAGATTTTTTAATTGTGTTTTGGTAGTTGAGGTATACATTAAATATTCTTCATATGATTTTTTCAAGTTATTTCCACATGTTAGGAAATGAAAAAATATGATGCTTTTTGGGATTATATTCTTATAATTGATAGCAAGTTGTAAAGAATGTTTAATTAATACTCTAGGGCAAGTTCACAGTTTGGGGGAATTATAGAAAAGAATAGAGGTTTTATTCATTTAAATATTATATCTCTTGGTTACAACAGACTAGTAAAATAAATTTTTGCTTCTTATTTGCAAAGCTCCACAATCCCATTTTACTTGCCATGAGAATCAAAAGCAAGCATTTTTGTTGCAGCTTTTGCTAGTATTAAATCTAGGAAAATGAGGACAAATTAAAACTTAGGTTTTCACATTGGAAGTAGGATGGAGAGTTTGCAAAACCAAATTAGATATTGCATTTCTGAAGGAAATTGTGTCTGGAATCTAGCTTGAACATTTATTTATCTAAAAGTCATTGGGTGTTCATAAAGGCTCCACTTTATGTTATGTAGCACAGGACCCCATTATGAATACTGCGTGCTTTCTCTGTCGTAATAATATGACAAGTGCAGAAATACCCAGTGATTTATTTCTGTCCCCTACATCAAGTTTCTGGTTTTTTTAATCAAAGGAAATATTTACATTATTGGTATATAATAGATATATATTTGAAAAGATATATCAAAAAGACCTAAGTTTTTTGGCAATAATTCTGTTTACCTCTTTCATTTAAAAAGTTGGTTAAAAATCTTTAAATAATGGGTATAGAGTTTCACATTCTCAAGATGAAAAGTTTTGTAGATCTGTTTCACAACAGTGTGAATATACGTAACACCACTGAATTGTACCCTTAAAAATGGTAAGGGTAATGGTAAATGCTTTACCATTTACCAAAACGTTTGCATACAAAATCATATGTATTTATGCTTAAAAGTTTACATTTTTCTTTTAAGATTATAAGGCTATTTATTGCAGCATTTTTTATAATAGCACCAAAAAATGGAATCAACTTAAATGTTGAATAGTAAAGGTTTGGTTGAATAAATTGTAGAAAATTTATGAAAATGAGGTCTATTCAGTGATTAAAAATCATGTTGTAGAAGTGAATTTACTGATACAAAAAGATGTTCAAAATACATACAGTTGATTAGAAAAAACAAAATAGATACCCAAACAGCATGTATTGTTTAATTCCAGTTTTGGTAAAGAAATATATGTGCATAGAAAAATGCCTAGGAGTGCATATTCAATAAAATTAACAATAGTTATAAAAAGTAGAATACAGATTTCTTGCTAAATTGCTTATGCTAAATAGTGTTTATGGCTCATAACTTCACTGATAACAAATGGTAACAAAGGAAATTAGTTGTTTTTCAAGAAACCAATTGATATATTCATGTGACAGAGAGATGGGCATGGTGTAGTAGAAAGAATAAATTCTCTGGAACCGGAGACATCTGGGTAAAATCTCTTAGAAGCTTGTGACCTTAGGGGAGAGGAAATTATCATCTTAGAGTTGTAATTTTCTCATCTTTAAAATGATTTTTACAGTACTTTACTCTCCCAACACTGGTCAGGATTAGGGGTAAAATGATTATTGTGTGTCTAGCACAAATGTCTAACACTTAGTGATACTTAATAAGTGATAACTTTTAGGTTATTATATGGATATACCATCAGTTGAATTTTTTCAACTATAATTTAGGAAGCACTGTAAAATATCTCTGTAGAAGGATATTCTTTACGGTTTGGTTTTGGGTGTGTGTGTATGTGAGAGAGAGAAGGAAGGGAGAGGTTTTGGTGTTTGTGTATGTGTATGAGGGAAAATGAGAGCGCTTGAGGAGGGGGGTGAGAGAAAGAGAATTTTTGTGCCTCATTTAAAATATTTTGTAAGTAGCATACAATCTTTCAGAAACATTGGCATCCATTGTGTAACGTGAAGCAAGCGTATAGTGGAAGCCATACTAGCTTCCAAGCTGGAGAACTTGACAGAACGGGGAAGGATTAGTCTCCAGCTTCAGAAAGAAAAAGATTAATCTTCAAAATATTTTTCAACCTTTAGTAGCTTCGAGATTACTTGGCTATTTTATATTTAGTTGCTTTTCTGACTTTTAGACATTAACATGTTTATTTATCATTTGTAGGTTTCTAGAACGACTGTTCGAGCGACATATAAAACAAAATAAACATTTGGAGGAGGTTTGTCTTTTCTTATAACTTCATTAGAAAAATTTTAATATAGAAATAATTTAAAGTTTTTCCATACCCTCAAAGAATGCATTAAAAGCAAGAGATTTTTTTTCCCCTTGGACTTTTGGGGGTGGGAGTGTGGAGATAGGAGTGGGAGAATGTATTAATCCTGCTGAGATTAGCAGCACTACAGACAAAAGTAATTCAATTAGACTAGCTTAATTAATGTAATTATTCTCATCTTTTTCTTAATCCCAGGGGAAAATGCGCCACCTGCTGCATGTCCTGAAGGTAGACTTAGGCTGCACATCTGAGGAAAGCTCAGTAAAGCTAAATGATGTTGACACGTTGACATTACTTGATTTTGAAAATGCTGGGAATTCAGAACAAAATGAATGTAAAAATGGACATGAGGTAACAATTCAACAGGAACGTCAAGAATACCAAAAGGCTTTGGATATGTTACTGTCTGCACCAAAGGATGAGCATGAGATATTCTCTTCACCAAGTGGATTTTTCATGCCCATCTATAAATCAAAGTGTTCGGAAGGGGTTATAGTCCAACAGGTGAGTGATGAAACAAATCTCAAACCTTCAACTTGGGATGAAAACAATCCAAGTATTTCGGACAGTTTAATAGACCAGGAAACCTCTGTGAATGTCATTGAAGGCGATAGTGACACTGAAAAAGTTGAGACTTCAAATGAATTATGTTGTCTTAGCACATCAGTCCCCCAATCTGTTCAGTTCTGCAGTATCAACGGTGGCAATAATTATGACCTGGAATTACCAATTCTTAAAATCATGGAAATGAACATTGAGGACTGACTGCCCTTCAGATGCTTGATCTTCATTAAACACCCCAAATGTCCAGTAAACTCAATATTTTCTTCTTTTTTTTCGTATATATATTAAAAGTTCTGTGTTAGTTTTCTGTATTGAAAACTTATAAATTTAGCAGCTTAAAACACCACACATGTATTATTTCTCCCACAGTTTTTTCTGTGGATCAGGACTCTAAGCACAGCGTAGTTGGGTCCTCTGCTTTGGGTCTCACAAGGCTATAGTCAAGGTGGCAGTCGGGGCTGTGGTCTCATGTAGAGGTTTGACTGGGGGAGAATCCACTTCCAAACTCTTTACAGGTTGTTGGCAGAATTCTTTTTCTTGCAGCCATAGATCTGAGGGCTTCATTTTCTTGCTGGCGATGGCCAGAGGCTGTCTGCAATTCCCTGCCCCTTGGCTGAGCTCTCCTTGGGACGGTCGCAATATGGCTGCTTGATTCTTCAAGGTTAACAGGAGAACCAGAGGGACTCTACTGGCAAGATGGAGTCATATAATGTGACATAATCATATGAGTGACTTTCCATCACCTTTGCCTTGTTCCTCTGGGTGGAAGCAAGGCACAGGTCTCACCCACACTTAAAGGGTGGGAATATTATACAAGGGTGTGAATGCCAGAAGGTGAGAATAATTGAGGTCACCGAGGGTCTGTTGGTCACCTTTTCTAAAGTTGCTTTTCAGGGGAACATATTTTACTCAGACATAAGTAGTTTTGTAGGCACTAGGAAATGCTGTATGATCTGGAGTGGGCCTTGAAACATTATGCCTTGTCTACAGTATCTTTAATTTCTTTTTTCTCAGTTTCCTGCAATATGTAAAACCTCAAGGACCTTCTCAGTATCAGTGAGTTAGGACAGTCTGTCAGCTGCCTGAAATATTGTCTTGTGAGTGCAAACATTCCATCTAATCTGTCTGACACCTTCCCCTTACCGTTGTAGTTCGTGAATGGGATCCATACTCTTCAGATTTGTCCCAGGAGATTAATATGTCTTTTCAACTATTTATAACAATTGAATATTTGAGTGTCTGTTTTATATAAAGTGTCATGTCTAGGCACTGTGGAGGATAAGAAGATGAAACAGTAATAATAATCCAAGTATTCTAGGAACTTAGCAATGGCCTCCAGGTATCCTGCTCTTTAACTCAGGCTTTTTTCATACTTTGGCCACACCAGCATTTCCGAAGAGTGGTGTATACGCTGAGGATGATGAGAGTCGGCTTTTAGTGGGATATGGATGACAGGTGCATCTCATTCGTGGGAAGCTGACCACCACCACTGTTCAGGATTCAGACTCAGGATTCAGACTCAGGAAAAACCTGAAAAGTATAGTATGGTGGGGCCGAGCACCCAACCCACTCCTCCACCAATTTCTAGAGCCCCAACTCACCTCACCCTGCTGCAGGTCTTCCTCAGCCCCACCTGCCCCTCAGCTCTTACCTCTGGAATTCTTCCCCTAACCTTAGAAACACCTTCTTTTCCCAACCTGCACACCTCTTAAGCCTCCTAAAATAACCTCAGTGCTACTCTTGGCTACCAGCCTGAGTATCCTCACCCATCAGCCTATAGCCCTCTGTTGATTTCTTGAACTCCATCTTTCCTCAGCCCCAGGGCTCCTTCCTTCAGTCCTAGCCTCGCTCTTCTACAAACTCCTCATCCCATCCCCCGTGTAACTACCTCCAGACCCACTGCCCTGGCGCCAATTTTCCTTCCTTGGCTGGAGCTGCCATCTTTTAAGGCATTCTCAGTAACTATCTTCCTTCTGCTGTTCTCCAGAGTATGCCTTTTGAGACAGATTGCCTGGGTTTGATTCCTTATGAGCCATGATCTTGAGCTGGGTTTTTTAGCCTCTTTGTGCTTTCTTATCTCTTGGGCAGGAGTAATTATGGAGTCTTCATTGCAGGGTTTAGAATTAAATGGGTTGTATGAAAATTAAATACAGGCTGCCATGATTATTGTAAAACAGATCATGCCACTCCCTTTTTTAAACACCTTTGTTTCCACTAGCTAACAAGATAAAGTCCAGGCCCCTGGGCATTTCTTATAAAGTCATGTTTTCCTTCTCAGTTCATCTCTCGCCATCTCTCCAAAGCATCCTAAATGTCTGCCACACCTAATTGCTTGTTCCCAAATACACACAAGTCCTCTCTCTCCAGGGCTTTGCACTTGCTATCTGCTCAGAACGTCATTTTCCCTCTGCTGCACTTTTGAGCCTTCATTTATAGCCCATATTTAAAGTAATACCCGTGAAACCTTAAGTGATTGTCCCAATTGTCCCCTCCCACCCCAGCTCTGGGATCTGGAATCAAATCTTTCCTGTCTACAGTAAGAATTATAATATCGTTTATTTACCCAATTTGTCTCCACTCTAGACTGTAAGCTTCTCAAGAGGAAGCACCTATTTCTCTTTGGAGATCCCCAGGTTATTGTCAGCTTGACAATGAATGCATTTGTTCCTGGAGGAGGACAGTTTTAGATGAAGGAGGTTTAGTTGCACACAAAGTTATAGGGACATTTCCTCTTGACTTTACACTCAGAAAGTGCAAATTCCACAGTGTAGAAAGGAGAATGTAGCAAATTACTGTTACATGAAAATTACCTCATTCGCTCACATTTTAAATGGTTCAAAATATAAATTAGCATCTTCCTTAGAAGGCTTACTTTAAAAGTCATATCTTTTTTTCCTCAGTGAAGCCAGTGAAAAGATCAGAACAGCTTTTATGGGGCAAGACTATAATTTGCCAAGTGAACTAATTAGCTGTATGGTTGCCAATGAATTCGTTTATCCTGGGCTTTGGTTTTAAAGAGCTTGGACTTAGACGATCCCAAGTTTTTTTTTTTTTTTTGCTTTAATATGCCAAAGTTAGTTTTAGCTTGATTCTTAAAGTTTGTAGAAATGAAAATTGAAATAATTTACACCTAGAGGTAGAAACACCTATTTTTCCTTCATACACTGGTGTAGTACTGGAAAGCAATCTGCTCAATTGATTTACAGTTCAATGATAGATGATGCCACCCTAACAAATTTCTTTCCTCAGACCTTTTAAAAGCAGCCAGATGGAACCAATAATGAATGGCATATCCTAAAGGAATAAATCTATATGCTTAATTCAAAGACCAGGAAGAAGATACTTTTGGTTGGAGTAAGGAAAGTTTTGCTCCAAGGCCAAACTTTTTGTCTTGGGAATTCTGTTTTGTGCAAACGTTTGAGTTTTGAGGCAAAACCACCTAGCAGTCCTGGATATGAGACTTCCATATTCACCTGGTTCTTCCAAGATCCTTAAAACAGGTGAGCTGACCTTCAAGTTTCTTCTGAGAGGGAGAATAGTATTCGTTTCCTGTTGCTGCTGTAACAAGTTACTACAAACATGGGAAAATAAAAAACAAAAAAATCCCCCCACGCATTTATTATCTTGCAGTTCTGGAAGTCAGAAGCCCTAAAATAAAGGACTCGGGGCTGCAGTCCTCCTGGAGGCTCTAGGGGAGAATATTTCCTTGCCTTTTCCAGCTTCTAGAGGCTGCCTGCATTCCTTCACTTGTGGCTTCTTCCTCTATCTTCCAGGCCAGTTGTACAGCATCTTCAAATCTCTCTCTCATAAAGACCCTTTGGGGCCCACCTGGGTATCCAGTATAACCTTCCCTCTCAAGATCCTTAACTTAGTCCTATATGTAAAGTCCCTTTTGCCACATAAGATAACATTCACAACTTCAGGGGATTAGGATGTGAGCATCTTTGGGGAGCCATTATTCAGCCTACTATAAATATCACTCACCCAATAAAAATTGCCTAAATAAACTTTAGTGCCTATTAAATGTAGTTTGGTTATGTAATAAATCCCAAATTGGGATCTATAGTGAACATCTATGGCTTTTTAATTGAAGCAGTGGCTCTGGTTCTCAAACTTTAATATACATCAGAAACCCCTCGAGAATTTAAGGCAGATTTCTGGGCCCCATCCCAATATCTTCTGATTCAGCATTTTCAGATGCTACAGGGGAGCCTCCAGAATTTGCATTTCTATCAAGATTCCAGATGCTTCTGCTGCTGGTCCAGAAACAACCCCACTAAAAGATGAATGAAGTGGGCACTCAACAAACAGTAAGTTCCGCCACAGGGATGGCCACATGAGGAACTCTGCCAACCTACGGCGAAGCTGGTATTGTTGGGAAGAACACCAAACATTCATTCTTTTTTTTTGTCTTTTGTCTTTTTCCGTGTCCGGCAACGGATCGCAACCCTCAGTGT